ACGGCCTTTTGTGCCAGTCCTTGAACAAGCAGCTGCTAGAATGTACTATAACCAATACAAAATGGCCAAGTGTGGGAGGGCCGCTGGACAAGTGTGGGAGGGCCGCATTTAAATAGAGCAGGGAGGGCTCTTAGCGGGCCGGATTAAACCGGTCCGTGGGCCGCAAATGGCCCGCGGGCCGGACTTTGGACATGCCTGACTTAAGCGAATGACTTTAAGTGAATGATAGTCTAGTCTCTCTTCAGATCATATAAATCTTTTAGCTTTTTACTAAAGATTTCTGTGGAGAGGAACATTTATGAGTATTTATTAATTTTTTCAGGTGGAACATCATTCGCTTAGAGATTAGACTGGCCCCCACTTTACCCCTCTTCCGGAAGGCGCTGAAGACCTGGTTCTGCCAGCAGGCCTGGGGAACCCAGAATGGGATAGAGCCCAGCAAATGACTAGTTTAATGTGTGCTGTCATTAGGGTGGGGGTGGGGGGGTGGTTATTATTTTATTTTTCCTCTTGTTATTTTATTTTTATAGGGTGTTTTTTTATTGATGCAAGCCGCCATGTGCAAGTAGACGGTGATACAAATTTTATAAATAAATAAATAAAGTGCTGGTATGCTATTCTCAAATAAATCTGGCATTAGAGATTGCAATGTCTCAGGTTTGCTTGTTTTGTTAGGATCACCAGCTGGAACATTGACACTGTCAGCTCTCATTTAAAATGAAAATCAATTAAGGGATCCTGAACCGTCTACACCTTATCTGGCCACCTCCAGAGGGGCTGTGAAGACTAGGGGGAAGATATCTGGAAAGAGGAAGAGGAAGACTTCTTAATGGAAAGGTCCGGTGGGCTGGAGGCATTTGACAGGAGGCAGCAGTCAGTCAAGCAGCCATGGAAGAGATTGTGTGACCTGGAGGTGCAGGGATGGAAGCTGGCTGGGAGCCGGGAGCAGATTCCTTGAATGAGGTCCAGCCAACTTGTGGCAGCCATGCTGAGCCTGTCACCTTGATCCAATCTGACAGCAGTGATTACTGCAACTGGGGGGCTGGCCAGCCCCCAGAGGGTTACCCCTCTTCAGTCTGGTGCGAGCCTAGGGCTCGGAGCTGCTGGTCCTCAGCCAACAACTGCCCAGCCAGCCGTTGCTGCAACTGCCAATGCCAACTGCCCAGCCTGGGCCTTTCCCCTATGTGGGGGGTTGGGCTCCAGGGCTTTGGCCTGCACCTGGAGCCCAGCAACCTCCATTGCTAAAAGCAACCTTTGATGGAATGCCAGAGAAGCTGGCCTTCTTCCTGAATCAGGTGTGGTCACACCTGGACTGGTTTGGCCAGATGTATCCTGATGACGAGGCCTGTATTGATGTTATTGTGGCGAACCTCAAGGGAGAAGCAGAAGAATGGGTGGTTGTCCTCCATGATGAGAGAGCTCCTGAGCTGGGTGATCTGGATATGTTTCTGGGAGAGCTCAGAGTCCAGTTCAGCGACCCCACCCAAATTTAATGAGTAGAGGCTGAGGTCCGAACCACTAGACAGGGGAACAGACCCATAGCAGAATATATCAGAGAATTCAGGAAGACCGCAGGAAGGCTGAGGCATGGCCAGAGCGACTCCTGACTCAGTACATCCTAGATGAGTTGAGTTGTGACCTGTTCCACTTGTGCCTAGCCCGAGGGATCCCAGACCAGCTCAATGACTGGTACCAACTGGTGACCACTGTAAAGCTAGACCTGATGGAGTAAAAGAGCCGTAGGAGATTCAAACCACGCCCGAAGAAAAGCCAAGAGAAGTGTGCATGAGGGAGAAAGAAGCTGGTGACAGTGTCTCCTGCCTCTGCTGAAGCTTTGAGTCATGCCCCCATTCTGTGCTTCTGCTGCAGCCGGGGGGGGGCATCTGGCAGCAGTGTGCCCATCATCAGCACCTAGAGTGGGCCCCGCTGCTCCTCCCTTTCTGAAGCCTAAGAGGCCACCAAAGAGGGGAAAAGAGAAGTCATGAGGGGCAGCCCAGGTTGTTGTGGTCTCCCCCCGAGAGCAAAGGGGAGGGAACTCTGACTGAAGAGGAGCTGCAGATGACCCTCTATGACAGCGACAGTGAGGGAAAAGACCTAATGGTGAGTGGACCAGTCAACCACCTCGCAGCTAAACATTGTAGCACCCCATTCAGGGGCAAAGGGGGTGGTGAAAGCACTTATAGATTCGGGCAGCACCCGATGTTTGATTAGCCAGCCCACAGTACAAAAGTTAGGACTGCATGTGAGAAAGCTTAGGAAGTCTGTGAAATTTGAACAAGTTGATTGCACATTGGTGGGAGGCAAGGCCGCCTCCTATTTAACGGAGCTGGTGCAACTGAGATTTGGGGACCACCAAGAGATTATTCAATTCCTGGTCACCCCAAAAATGGCTGAAGAGCTCATCTTAGGGCTAACTTGGCTAGCAAAGTGGGGGGCCCAGATTTATTGGATGAGAACCTCAAAGCGAGTGATTATGAAGAGGCGAAGTCCCAATCCCCCTGAAAAGGAGAAGCCTGAGATGGGGGGGGGAGAAGCGAAGAAATCCCTTGAGTACAGCAAAGCAGCATCAGAGAAGGGATAGGAGCAACAGGCCATCCCAAGAGAGTACCGAAGCTTCATGGAGGATTTAGCGAGAAGGAGTGTGACATCCTGCCCCCTCACCACCCCACAGACTGTGCTATCGAGATTCTGCCCAAAGCGAAGCTCCCCAAGCCAAAAATGTACTCCATGATTCCAAATGAGATGCAAAGGGATTACATCGATAAGAATTTAGCGAGGAGGTTTATCCAAGCTGCGAAATCTCAAGTGGCAGCACCAGTACTATTTAAGGAAAAGAAAGATGGATCGCTGAGATTGTGCATTGATTTCCGTGAGATTAATGGAGTGTGCGTGGAAAACATGTATCCCCTCCCCCTCATGAATATGTTGGGACATTTAGCCAAGGTGAAGATATTCACTAAGTTAGACCTGAGAAAGGCATACTATTGAGTGAGAATCAAGGAAGATGATGAATGGAAAACTGCATTCAACTGCCCCCTTGGGAGCTACCAATTTAAAGTGATGCCTTTTGGACTATAGGGGGCCACTGATAAATGAGGTGCTACATGAGCATGTATACAAAGGGGTTTTGGTGTACCTGGACGACATCCTCATTTACACTGAGACTATGGAAGAACACATGAAACTCGTGCAAGAGGTGCTGAAAAAAAAAATTGGACACTAAACTGTATGCTAAGCTGTCTAAATGCGAGTTTCACAAGACAAGCCTAGACTACCTGGGTTATCAAGTGTTTTGCGAAGGGGTGGAGATGGACCCAGGGAAAATGAAGTCTATCTTGGAGTGGCAAGCCCCTCACACCCGCAAACAGCTACAGAGCTTCTTGGGGTTTGCAAACTTCTACAGGCAATTCATTCCCTCCTTCGCTGAAATTGCCTTGCCAATCACTGAACCGTTGAAAACTGGGAGAGGAGGAGAGAAGCCCTGACCGAGTCAACCCTTGAATTGGACGATGGAATGCCAAGCAGTATTTGAAAAGCTGAAAGGGTTATTTGCGGCTGAACCAGTTCTAAAACACTCAGATCCAGAGGAATCTTTTGTGATTCAGGCAGATACTAGCGACATAGCCATGGGGGCATTCTTCCTTCAGCATATAAGGAGGGAAACTTGCAACCGTATGTGTACACATCTCACAACTGAATGAGACAGAATGACAGTGGGCTGTGTGGGAGAAAGAGGCTTTTGCGGTACGATGGCTGTTATTAACATGGAGGCAATTCTTAGAGGGGAGTAGAACCCCATTTGAGGTAAGAACAGACCATAAAAATTTAGAAGCCCTGAAGACTCCCTGTAAGCTCTCACCCAAACAAGTCGCAATATTTCAAATGATTTGATTTTGAGTTAAAGTACATGCCAGGGGGGAAGAATTTTCTTGCCAATACCTTATCCTGGATGCCTCAGTACAAGAGCACCCAGGAGGAGGTGGTGAGTTCCACCATCCCCATCAAACAACAAGCAGCACAGGCTACGACCAGGTGGCAGGAAAAGAGGAGGAACTCACCCCCCATGGATGCATTTGCCCAACAACTGAAGCAGGAGCTATCGACTGATGTGTGGTTTGTGGCTCATCAAAGAGAACTGACCATGAGGGACGGGTTGACATGGAAGGGAGGCAAACTGCATGTCCCCGACAATCTATGAATGCAAGTCTTGCAGCGCAGCCATGATGCTAAGCAGGCTGGCCACTTTGGGTTCTTAAAAACTCTGCACTTTGCAAATCATCAGTTCTGGTGGCCAAAGATGATAAAGGACATTGAAAGTTATGTGAAAAGCTGCACAGTTTGCGCAGCCAGCAAGAGACTGCTGGGAAAGAGCCCAAGGCTATTGCAGCAGGTCGCTGAACCGGCCAGACCCTGGGAGGAAATAGCCATGGACTTTATTGTGGAACTACTTGAAAGTGGGAAGAACACCATGATTTCAACTGTAGTAGATCTGTTCTCCAAACAAGCTCATTTTATCGCATGTGCTGGGCTCCCCTCAGCCCAGAAGCTAGCGAAATTGTTCCTGCAGCATATCTACCATCTTCACGGAGTGCCTAAATGCATCATCTCAGACTGCTAAATTCTGGAAAGAGTTTGTGCGGATGATTGGATCTTCCCAGGGACTTAGTTCAGCTTTTTATCTGAGTACAAATGGGGCCACAGAAGGAGCTAACACAATGATGGAACAGTGCCTACATTGCTATGTCAACTACCAGCAAACCAACTGGGCAGTACTTTTATCATTTGCAGAGGTGGTGTATAACAATGCTGTACACAGCAGCGCCGGTTTCACCCCCTTTAAACTGGCCATGAGAGTGGAGTTCATGCCCATGCCAGAATGCCCTCAGGAGCTTCCCTCATTAGTTACCTTAACTGAGTGGGTAGATTTGTTCCAACATGTTTGGAGCAACGCAAAGAAAGCTTTAGCTAAAGCAACAGAGATGCAGAAGCAGGTAGACAAAAAGGGAGCTCCCCAAGGGACAGTCCATATAGGGGATAAAGTATATCTATCTACAAAATGCATCAAGTTGAGACAAAATTGCAAAAAGCTAGGTCTGAAGTACATAGGCCCCTTTCCTATTGTGAAAATCATAAACCTGGTAAAAGTAGAGCTCAAACTGCCTAGATTACTGGGTGAAGTATATCCAGTATTCCACTGCAGCCTATTGAAACCATTTTGAGACTCTACAATGAGACCAGTGGGGATGGCAGCCCCGATCCGGTAATAGTGGGGGTGGGGGTAGGAGACACACTACAAAGTCAAATGAATTTTAGACTCCAGAATTCACAAAGGGAAGTTA